ACAGGAAAAAGATACCCATTGTCAAACAAACAAGCAAACCAAACACTGAAGTACCAATTTGCACCAACACTATATAAACTAATTATCAGCAGACAAAAGTTTTAGTATTCCTGAAAGAGAAGCTAAAGAATAAAAGATGGCTTCAATGAAAAATATATAGGGCCCAGGGAGTGTATTGATATTCAGGAACCATTAGGAGATTGGATATGCCAAAATCAAATCCTCCACATGCTGAATACGAAACTGACCTTTCAATAAAAATAAATAAATAAATAAGTTCAATGATATGCAAAGCACTAATCACAATTTAAAAAATAACATATTAAATGATATCTCAAAGAACTATGTTATCATCAAAAAATATATATATATAGCCTAACGCTTCACATAAAGCAAGAAACATAAGAACGCATAAGAAATAGCTATGAATGACTGGCACCATTGTTTCAGCAAAATATAAAATTTTCAGAAATTTTAATTACTATTGCAGCTGCTTTTGCTGAACAGGCCCCCATTATTGAAAAGAGAAGAGGCCATGTAACTGGGTTCATGAATCTAGAAAAATTCGTATAATTACACTTGAAATTCCTTGAAGTGGGTTTAAATATTATAATCTTTTATTTATAGGTCAAATCGTTATAACGGACCGTGAATCTAGATGGTATATTTTAAGGAAAGTAAAGCTTCTTATGATACACACGTAGCACTAAAGTGACTAATTTTTAACATAATTTTGTTTAAAGAGTGAAACCATATAGTGAATCTAAATTCAAAAAGTTACAGCCAGCAAGTGCAACTCACAAAAAAGAGAACTGACCACAAGTTATATCCTACGATATAAACCATGGACTTAAGCAAGATATTGCAGCACATAATTACCTCACATGTACGGCATGAGGGACATGTCCATGAACTCCAGTGAAACAGATCTGCAGAGGGAAACATAACTCAGAAGGGGAATGTAAGATTTTAGCCAGACCAAGAACCCTAGAAACTGAACAAACCTCTATGTTGAGACCAAGTTTTCAAGCAACTCCTGTGATATTTTTTCCCACAATTACTGCATGGATGCATCTTCTTAGCTCTTTCACTCCCTTCATTTTCACCAGAGAAGCACAGTCGACACATCACATTCACATTAGAAGAACCCTGCTCCTCTACACCAGAATCTTTGGTGACATCCTGAGAATAGCAGAAGAAAAAACAAGCTAAGCTATTTGCAATATAGAAGCAAGAAAGTAAAAGGAGCATAGTCCCCAGAGTCTCAAATAATATGACCCATCTAAGAAAGCACATGATTGCCAATCCCAAGGTTGGGACAAGATTCAAGGTTTATAATACTAGGTTCATCTGACGACATATACTACCTGTTTCCCACTCTAACAAATGGACATTTTGATATCCTATCCACCAACTTTAAGCTGTTGGAACAGGTATGGAAAATGCCTGGGAAACTTTAAAGATGTTCTTGCATCAATCAACATTAAATTAGTGAAAGGAACACCATATGATTTAAGATTCAAAACTAGCAACAAACTGACCCGAGTAAAAACATAGTCATTCCTCACCCAGACAAAGAGTGGGAAGTATTGTAAAAATAGGCCAAAACTTAAATTCTTCACTTGTCATTCATCAATTGCAAAATAAGTCCACATTTCAAAAGAATAACATAAATTACCAAATAATTCTCATTGATACCAAAAACTCAAATCACTTATTCATTATCATCAATTCATCACCTTGAAAACTTAAAATTATCCTGCTCTCCTCCTATCCAATTTAAATCGTTGCTTTAAATAAAAAAAAGTCATAGCCGTTAAAAACTTAAAATTATCCTGCTCTCCTCCTATCCATACCCCACTCCCACCAACCCGAGCTCTTGCATGCTGCAATGACAGAACCTACAGTATGATCACTTACAAAGCAAACACATACTCCCAAAACAAAAGCAATCCCGCAATTCAAACTCCTTCTTCCAAAACCAAAGTCACATTCTTTTCCAAATTAGGGATAGAATCAGACAACCAATAACACCCTCCAACCAATGTCATCATCCCACAAAACTAATTTCCATGATTCCACATTCCATGCTACTCACAATATCAATCCATCATTAATTGTCAATTTACAACACAAATACAATTACAATTTACAATCTTTAGCACAACACCAAATAGCAAAACACCTCTTAAATCAATCAAACAGATCCAAACAAGTCAATGCACAACCACAAACCCCAATTAAGTCCAAAACCCACAAAAATCCCCAATTCCAAAAACAAAGAAATCGGCAAAAACAAGAAAAACAAACCCTCACCACCAAAGCACCGGATTCAAAGCGGCGAGCAAAATCCTCAGCAGCCAAAGAAGCAACAGCAGCCTTCTTCTGCAACGCAACCCTTTTAGTCTGAGCAGACAACAACTCCTCAGCATCATCCCCATTAACAAGAGCAGAAACAGGCGGCGGAGGAGGCGGCGGAACAACCTTGGGAACCGGAACTTGAACCGTAGCACCTTCCTTAACCCTAATAATCCATGGATCCTTGAGAAAATCGTTCAACCTCGAAATCCCACCCTCGAAATCAGAAATTCCAGAATTAATCTGCGGAAACCCTAACTCGCAGAAACAAATTCGCTTGCTAAAAGAGGAGAATGAATGAAAGAAAGAAGAAGAAGAAGAAGAAGAAGAAGAAGAAGAAGAAGAAGAAGAAGAGGTTAGTAAGCAAGAATTTTAGATTCTTCGAAAAAAAAAAAGAGAGGGAATTAATAAAATTAAAATTAAAAGAAAAGAAAAGAAAAGAGGAGAGTGTAATACTAACTAGTTTACCATGTAATTGGGCAGGCGACGTGAAATGCCATATTATGATGAGTGATGAGAGAGAGAGATGAACCCAATTCTTTTTGATTTTTGATGGGGGTGGCGCTACCTCACTTCTCTTCTCCTTTTTTTTTTTTTTTTTTTTCTTATGAAAAAAAATACAGTACAGGTTTTTTGTTTTCTCTTTAAATCAAGCTTCTTCCTTCTCTATTTTACCCCTCCCCCCCCCCCCCAACACCTTGTTTTGACAATTCTACCCTTATTTCTACATGTTAACTTCTTACTCTTGTTAGAGTACATTTATAACTTAACGTGTCCTTCTAATCGGTGTTCAACTCTATTCTAAGTGTTTTCTATTTACCTGTATAGTTGTATTGTTGTTACTTCTGGTAGAGGAAGTTTTTTACTGACTTAGAACACTGATGGTTTAGCATGTCATTCTTACTGGTGTTCGGTTTATTTTAGTTATTATGGTTGATTATATATAGACATAGGTGTTGCTGGCTGAATTTAAGGTGGGATCTTATATGAAGGAATTTTAGGGTAATTTTGCATGGTATTGATGAGGTTGTTGATAGGTGAGTTAGAAGGCGGGATTGTATAAGGTAATTTAATGGTAATTTTGTATTGTATTGAGGTTGTTGGAAGTTGAGTTAAAAAGGTCGGATCTAAGGTAAAGCCATTTTTTAGATAATTTATTATGAAAGTAGCGCCAGTTTAATTTATTAGAGATTACATTTATTTTTAAAAGGAGAGCATTTAATGACTAATATTTGTGTTAGGATGATTTACTCTCATCAAATCTTTCTCTTTAAGTAGAACATAATAATAGATTCAATCATTAAATTCGTGATAAGTTTACTATGTCAAGGGATTTGTCCACCTAAATTAACGTTAATTGTCTTGTAATGTCGCGACTCAGGTGCTAAAAACCAAGGCAAAAGTACCAATATAAAGTATTAACAACTCATTTAATCTTGAATTTTGTGTTTTATATAGGAAAAATTGACATTTGCTACCAGCGAAAACACCTCGTGTCACATTTGCTACCTGTTTAAAAAAATATTTTAAATTACTACCACACAAATTCCCTAACTGTATATATTTCTACCACTTAACGGAATCCGTTAAGGTTCCGTTAAGTGGGCCTCATATTTCATTAAATAATTATTTAAATTATTAAAAAAAAAACTTTAAAAAAAAAAATCTCAAACACCCCATTTCCCCTGTCCCGGCGTCAGCCACCCTCCCCCCTCCCCTTGTTGGCGCCCAAATTTTTCCCCGATGCCGGCGAACCCCACCTCCTCCATTTCCCCTCCTGCAAACCACCCCTAACCCCGTGGTCTCCTGCTGCTAAACCGTCACCTTCGCCGCAAAATTCCACCAAATCTTCATCGGCGACGCCCCGACCTTTCCCCCACCCCTACGCAGCCAACGAACCCCCTTCCCCTTCTTGTTGCCCCGACCACCAGCCTCAAACCACCAGTCAATCGAAACCCTAAAATTCAAAATTGAAATCGAATTCGAAATCCTAAACCACCAGCCCCAAACCGCCGAAATCGAAATCGAAACTCTCGTTTAGGGTGGATTGAGGCTGGTGGTTTAGGATAAGTGATGGACGAAAGGGTAAGGGAAAGGGAGGGGGTCGATTTCGGTGGGGGGAATAAGGAGGGGGGCGATTTCCGGTGGGGGAAGGGAAAGGAGGTGGTTTCTGGTTCGGGGTGGGGGGAATGGCAGCAAGAACGGGAAAAGGGAGGGGGGTTGGCTGCGTAGGTAGGGGAAAGGGAGGGGTGGGGTCGCGCCAGCAAGGGGATGGGGGTGGGGTTGCGTCGGCGCCGACAGGGGGGAGGGGGTGGTAGTTGAGGGGACGGGTGACAGTGAAGTGGAGGGGTGGCTGCAAGGTGGTTGAATGGTGGCTAACGGAAAAAGTAACGGCCTTAGTCTTTGGTAGTGAAATATATATTTTAGGAATTTGTGTGGTAGCAAAATAAAATTTTATTTTAAACGGGTAGCAAATGTGATACGGGGTGTTTTCGCTGGTAGCAAATGTCAATTTTTCCTTTTATATATGTATGACTAGCTAGATTAATTAGGAAACACTATGTTATCTTACATATTGACACATATCCTAGTTAACATACAACTGAATTCTAGTAAAATTGCTTCATACAATCTTCAAAATTTTATAAGAAGGAAAGCTCATTATCACAGCCTCCAGGTTCAACTTTGGGGTTGTGTTGTTGAATGATTAAAACAGAGGCAGTGATGGAAAAATTAGGGCACGATAGTATATCACCTAAAGGCCCTAATTCTGGACATTGTTCCCAATCATTCATTCCCATTGTTAACATTGAATTCACTCGCCCAGCTCGTCCCACAATAAAAAGCTCATATTGGCCATCTAATGATCGTAATATGGTGTAAGCTTGTGCCGAATTTATCAAGTGTTTCTCCAAGTAAGACACCTTCCCTCCTGCAATGTGCCTTTCATAGAAATTTGCAAAGCATTCATCATCGAGTTCCATCTCTTCTAATAATTGGTTTGTTCTTCTCGTGTTATTGCTTTCTGCATCTATGTCTACTAGGAGTCTCATCACTGTAAGTTTTACCCCCGGATGGTAAGCTGTTCGTCCTGCATATGCTAATGCTTCTCTATCATCTTTGCCACCGATGAAAATAACAATAGTATTCAAAGTGCTTCTTCGCGATTTCGATATTTGACTGGTGGCACCAAAACCTCGATCAACCAAGATTGCAATGGAGCATGGGGCATTGCGAAGAACCTAGTAAAAACAAATTATAAAAAAAAAAATATTATACTCGGTTGCATTAGACTAAATAGAGTAATATTAGATCATGATAGAATCTCCCAAACAGAACTCATCTATCTATACTTAGTATTTATAAAAAGTATAACCAAGAAAGACACATGTCGCCATCTATTCTATTACACTTCTCTAACCAAGTGCCACATGTCATCTTACACTATTAATTTTTTATTACACCATTTTTTTTAATTCTTTCATTAAACTTAATTATACTTCATCTTTCATACACACTTCATTTATCCCCATTAATTCAACATTTTCCTATTCTCTCTTTAATTTTAGCCCTTCCACTTTCTATTTAAGCCTCTTTTTCGATTAAAGTTCCAAAATTTTAATTTCTTTAATCATGTTTCCGATTACATATTATACCCTATAATGACTTACAAATATTTCCTCACTTATCTCTCAATAAAATTTTATATGAATAACTCGTGCATTGTACGGGCCAGAAGGCTAGTAGTAATTAAAATATTTTACCAAAGGAGATTAGGTGGATTAACATAATATTAATAAATACGAGCATTACCTTGCGATTAACATATCTAAAACCTACATGACTATCATTTGTCTTCCCATCATTTGGAAGACCATTGTGAAAAGGAAGTATTATTAGACTGATGATTGAATCCTCAGCTAAGTTGCAAATTTCCTGGTGCATGTTGTTAAAAGTGGCCAAGGCCATGGCTCTTCGAAGGGTGATTCCATCTCCATTCTTCTCAAGGTATTCTTGTAATGTGGTTGTAATTTGCTCTCTATTCTGAATTGTCACCTCATCAGTCACCTCTATAGCATCTACTCCTCCGGGGACTAAAGTGGCAGCTATATGATCTGTGAGTTCTATCATGTCAGTAGCATACACCACGATGCCTGGGTCACCTGTCTCCTTGGAGATCTCCATGAGATTTATAGCACAAGGAACATTTTCGACTCCATGAAAACCTAATAGAATCCTTAGCTCCTTAGTAGGATCATGCCATTGTAGCGCCAAAGGTTGATTTGGGAAACGTTTCCTAGCTCTTCGAACAATGTATTTTGCAACTATTGGGATGTAGATGATCTTGAGAAGCATTGCAAATATCATACCAATACCTGTTGAGTAACTGATGATACGATTCTGCATCAATCCATTATACTAATTGTAAGAAAAAACAAATTAAAATATTCAAATTACATACATGTGGTAATTAAGGAGGATGCCCCAATTTCTCATGGTGAGAAACAAATTTTATTTCTCATATGGCATTTTCGTAAATAAACCAGTAACTTTATTCAACTACGGAGCCCACGATAATGAAAAAGTTGTTGATTTATTCACGAAAATACCCCCATGAGAAATAAATTTCGCGCAAAATTTAATCACATCAAAAAAAATAAATGTGTACCTTCATGGCAATAATAGTGAGGTATATATGCAAATGTCCTTTGACATTCAAAAGCAATGCAAGTGTTATGGATTCAGGCCATTGAATATCAAATATTAACCCGGATAAAAGCGCTCCAATAATCTTAGCAACCGTTTCGACAACAAAAAAGCCAAACAACCTTGCCCAAGAGCCTAGAGTTTGAAACTCAAATCGTCCAATTTGTGCTTCCAAACCCACCCACACAAAAAAGAAAGGATAGAACACAAAGGTCAAAAAGTAATTAGATTTAGAAATGAAAAATTGTGAAATCCTCCCTTCTCGCGGTAAGAATGCCCCAGTTACAAAAGCGCTAAGCACGGGAGTAAACCCCATAAGGGGTGAAATGCAGCCAATACACACAACAAACGCAACTGAGAGCACCAAGTGTGATCCTTTAAATGTTTTTCCATGAGGATTGGTGTTGTTGACCCAATGAAGAATTCTAGGTCCTACAATGAGGGTTATGATGATTTGTACCAACAGTGTCGCGCCAAGAGGGATAACACCATGACCCTTAAGGTACTTATGTTGGTCAGGTTCTCTTACACGAACCCGAAACCCTCTTTCTGCTTGGAATATGACATATCCAACACAAATTATAAAAATAGTTACCAATTCAGAGTACACTGCTGCAGAAATGGCAAACTTGCCAATGTTAGACTTTCCAATTTTAAGGTCTGTTAACACACGTGTTAGCAAAGGGGACCCCGTACTTGACAACATTATAGAGAAAGCTAAATAAAATTTAAGGTTTGAGTTCGTCCCGTAATGAAGGAAAGGAGCACTGCCACTTGTCATAATAAATGTGAAAATCATCACCGTGTATGCAAAAATAACCTCTCTCTTAGGTATGCGAAAAAACACCAGAGGATTCATTTCGAGCCCTAGTGCAAACATGTAGATGGTCATCCCAAAATCCGTTAGAAATTTCATGTTTTTCAATTTGTTATCATCTATATGTAGTAACGAAGATTTTACTAAGGTCCAATTGGCTAACGAAAACCCCACCTGCAATACAATACTTATCATTAATCACATATATAATAAATTTAGTTTAATAATTAAGGTAGCTTGCAAAAATGATCATTAACATTCTATGTCAATTACAACAATTTCTTTGTTGTATTCTAGAAAACTAATAATGCACATATTTTTTTTTTGGTGTTTAGAGAGCCACAAAGGCGGGGGTGAGAATTGATCCCAGGATCTCGTGGAATCGGGAGGGAAGCTCTAACCATTTGAGCTATCCCTCACTCTCATAGTACACATATGCATATAAAGAAATATACTATGTATGTATATAGATTATTCGGAATGTAGAAGACATACAATAGTTTCCGATATGATTCGTGGCTGAGAAAAGGGCTTTACGAGGATATGCAAGCCATGGCAAAGTCCAAGCAAAGAAATGAAGCAAATAACGTATGAAGCAACATTTGATATCGCATTGTTACAATCTGTAGTATCATCTTCCATTTCTTCTCGTTTTTGATCTCCTTTTGATTATATCCTATCAATTATTATATCATTCATTGGATATGAGTCCTTTTCGTTACTTCCATATTTTGTGTACAAGTTGAGATGCATGAAGTTAAAAATCTCTTCCATTAGCTTTTCTGCATGCAAATACAAGTAATACTAATTAGCAAGCTTATGAGTACGTCCAACTTATGAAGGGTATATATAATATGAAATTACAATTTTTGTGTCCAACTAACTTTCAAGCATATACAAACATTTTTATACTTTAACAGAAATTAAAGTTTCCTTGGTGATATATGTATTATTATAGAGGGGATACCCAGTCAATTCCCCAGATAAACAAAATTGTCTATCAAGTAGCAGTGGAGGGGTATATGCGTCTTTTCATATACTAGTTGAGGGGTACATGTGTAATTTCCTCACCAAACAGTAAAAGCAAAAGACAAACAGTAATTGGACAGCTCACCAAAAGTACTGAATAAATGACCCTGCTTTTTCAATATATTTACAAAAATGTCATCAGATTAACAAAAATTCGTTTATCTGGCAGATTAACTTATATTTTCCCATTATTATATATTACATAATATCACAAAATGGAAGAATGCAACAAAATACCATAGTAAGGATAGACATAATAATAAATAAGGCAAAAAAAAAAGGAGTATTTCGTAGTAGTCATTGTAATGATCTCTTTCAATTTAATTGTTACCATTCTAGTTATATCCTTTAATGTTAAAAGATCGAGTATTGATAAACAAACAATGTCAAATGACAATAGATTTACTACATACTATATATATAAACCCATTAGCTAGTAATAATATAAGAATCATGGTTTAGTTTACCTAAAATAACGAATTTCAAATTTCAATGTATCTATAACCTAAATCGAAAGAGAATAAGCCTACATACATATAATTTCTTTAATTAATTCATACATGTAACTTCAAACCTTGAATAAAATAACTTTCTATATAAACATGTGTAATTTGTAATTAGTTTATCATGAATCATGAACTATAAAAGCAATGTAATTGTGTTCCCCAATATTTTTGAAAAGCAATCTAGTAACAATATTAAATAAAAGAAAGATAAACCAATAACCAAAAATTAGATCAATTTTTGACATATACACATAGTAAAAAAAATATTAATTACGAAGAATGAAAAAAAAAAAAATAGACTTTTTACCTGTCAATGTCTCTAATTGCCATTGTGGAAGTTCATTACTTTTGATGCAAAGAGACAGAGAGATGAAAAAGGGAAAAGAAAGGGAGAAGAAAATGTATGGTGGTCTTAAATCATTCTAATTGAGGAAATTTATTGTTAAAGGTTCGAGTTCTTTGGGGAATTTGTACATGTGTAATATGTCGATTATATTGGTCAATTTTTTCTTTATCTTTTTATGTCTTTTCCGTAAATTAATAACAGTAATAGTAATAATAGTAATAATAATAATAATAATAATAATAATAATAATAATAATAATAATAATAAGGGTTGCAAAGCTACATATACTCATAACTCATTTAATACTTCAAAATAGGTAGTAGTATTAATTCGGAATTTATGAAAAATAATTTATAACTCGAAATTAACAATATATTTCTCATAATTAAGCTAAAAGTCATGCTATCTTAGCCATTTTTATTAAGATTTTATATTCAACTTTTTTTGAGGGAAGCTTTTATATTCAACTAAAATTATCTTTTTTTTTTTTTTTGAGGCAAACTAAAATTATCTAACTTTCAACTAAAATTATCTAACTTTTTTTTTTTGAGGCAAACTAAAATTATCTAACTTGTTTAGTGTTTTTTTTTTCATTTGTTCCTCTATTGGAACTCGGAAGACATGATTTAAAGTGCCCAAATAAATAAATAAATAAATAAAATAAAAAATAAAGTGATACTCCGTACAAAAACAGTACGAAGTATAATTTTACAAACAATCCCACAAATTAAAATTCCCCATTACATTTATCTGCAAATCAATCTTCTTCGATCTTGGAAAAGGGACTCCTTATCTGCCCCTTCTCCTTTCTGGGTACGTTTCTCAAGTATATTCTACTAATTTCGTTAGTTGCATCTTATTCTGCTGTTGTTACTAATTTCTGTTACAGAATTTTGTGTCAAAATCTAGTCTTTATTACTTTGATCTACTGTAATTGAGCTGGGTTGTTACAGTACATAGCTTTCTTGATTAGCTTCTGAAAATTAGGAATTTGGGCAGTAATTTATCTTTTAATCACAGCAACTTCAGATGGGTATGTCTGTGTCCAATTTATGTGTATATGAATTGGGTTTATAAATACAATTCTGGTTGCCTCAAGAAGAATTCTGCAGTAATTGAACTTAATTGACTTTTGTTTTCATTGATTCTCAAATTGTTCCAAATTATTTTTCTAACTTTGTTAAAGAACCTTTTTTTTTAAAACTGTAATTGAGCATGGTAATTGGTGAAGCAAATAATTGACTTGGTTAGTTTCAGAAAGTTATGATCTTGGGTATTATTTGATTCACATTCCCCAAATTCAGATGCATATTTATCTGTTTAGTGTATGACTTGTTGCAAACATACAATGAAATGGGTTTGTAATGTTTATAAGATTATAATATTTCAATTCATTATCCAATTCAAATATTCGATCAAGGGTATTATTTGAGTTATAAGGCAATTTGCAACATTCTAACTTGAGCCTGGTCAGGTTAACAGGAAGGTAGTGTATAAGAACCTACTGTGGACTGTGGTTAGTAAGAGAAATGGAGGATGTTGTGGAGCAACAGAATCCATCACTAGGTAAAATACATCCCTTTTAGCCAATTTATGATACATTTTTTCAATGAATTGCCTATCTCTAGAATTGGAAATGAGATTCTATATTCACTCAATCAAATACCGCAAATCATACTCCTATATCCCTTTTAAAAATCTCACATTGCTATACTCCTTTGAAGGTGAAGATGGAGAGAGTGATATAGTAACTGAACAAGCTACCTTTGTCCATGGAGCACCTCATCAAGATGATAATGGCCCCCCTAAAGTAGATGCTGAAATTGAGGTTCTTCATGAGAAAGTTACCAAGCAAATAATCAAAGAAGGTCACGGTGAAAAACCATCCAAATATTCCACATGCTTTAGTAAGTATAATTGGCTTCCATCTTAGTCTCTTAGATTTTCCCCACTGAATATTCAAATTGTTGCGATTTTTTTACACTTGGTAACTATGGACTGTGGATGGGTATAAAAATTTTCCTTTCCTTTCACTGCCTTGTTACTATGTGTGTCATATAACTAATTGAAATTTCAGCAACATTGTCATATATTGCAAAATTGCAATGGAATACAAAGACATTGTTCTAATCTAGTCAAGTTCATTCATTTTGTTGGCACATTTGCTGTAAGTTGTGATTTTATATATCACTATTATTTTCTGGATGGCTAGACTTGCACATTTTAAAAGCAAATTAAGTTGTGTGTTTGTTTAGTAATGAGCTTGGGAAGAGCCTACATCTGTTTCTTGTTTCAAAATGACATTTTTTCTTCCCTTTTAATAGTGCATTACAGAGCATGGACTGGGAGCACACAACACAAGTTTGAAGACACATGGCAGGAGCAACGGCCAATAGAGCTAATTCTAGGAAAAGGTAATGCTCAAAATATGCTTTATTCTGTGGTAAGTTTGGTGCCTGATATGCTTGATACTGGATTTGCCAACTTTGATTCCTTCGGTTTTCTGAGATGATTTCCATCACACAGATTGAATTTCACAATGTCACTATTGTTCTAGTTGACAGACGCCAATTTCATGTATGTACATATTTTTTATGTAGCTGGGTATAGACATTTCTATATCAGCACAAATAGTATCTTTATTTTATTGCAATCGAATGCAAATCAATTTAAGTATGATGAAATACCTTGCTGGGGGTTTATTAAATCAATCTAGGTTACTTTAGGGCACCTAGGTAAGTGGCACCGGCTTAATGACTCAAGGGACCAGACTGTCTAACACTACTAGCTTGTATAGTTGCCTGACTAATCTTTTAGTGTGCTATGCGTTCTAAATTTAATTATCAAGCGGTGATAATTCCTCCCGTCCCAGCTCACAGCTATGCCTAGAAGTACAGATATAGCAGTGGCTCTTCACTACCCTCATCCTGAGTGCATGCATGCCCTTTTGCATAAATTCTGGCTTCAAAATTGATCAAGTTTCAGTGCCTCATATTTTGTCATCGTAAAAATTGCTGAAGGATTGTTATGTGAGACTTTTCTTTTGGGTCATTTTCATCCTCTTCACTGAAAAAATTGAGCTTTTGATGTGTTTTCTGAATTCATTCTAGGTACAAGTTCTATGTTCATACTTCTTTCATCAAGTTGGCATTGTTGATAATCTCTTGGACTACTTACTTTGAGACTAAGTTGAATTTTATTGTTTTTTGACAGAGAAGAAAGAGATGGAAGGTTTAGGAATTGGTATATCAAACATGAAGTCTGGAGAACGTGCCTTGTTACATGTTGGTTGGGAGCTAGGCTATGGAAAAGAAGGAAGCTTCTCCTTTCCAAATGTTCCACCCATGGCTGACATTATATATGAAGTTGAACTCATTGGATTTGATGAAACCAAAGAAGTATGTAATCAATCACCTAAATTTTACAATGAACTACGTATTGTTAGATCCAAAGCTGGTTGAAAAGATATACCTTTTCACTATTGAATTAGAATGCATCTGGGATATAGGGTAAACCACGTAGTGACATGACAGTTGAGGAAAGGATTGGTGCTGCAGACCGACGAAGAATGGACGGAAATGCTTTATTTAAGGAGGAGAAACTGGAGGAGGCTATGCAACAGTATGAAATGGTTATTCATTTTTCTAATTTTCACTATTACCATATTATTGTTATGGATTTCTACTTATCTTCATGTTAGGCATCAATCATTCAATCAGTTTCTGCTATGTCTTGATGCCTCAGGCAATAGCATATATGGGAGATGATTTCATGTTCCAGCTTTTTGGAAAGTACCGTGATATGGCTATGGCTGTCAAGAATCCTTGTCATCTCAACATGGCAGCATGTTACATTAAACTCAAGCAATATGATGATGCCATAGTGCAATGCAGCATTGTGAGTACCTTGTCTCATCAAAGAATGTGGATCTAGCTTGTCTTTTTCTGAAAATTGATGGTATAGTTAATCCCTGTGCTAAAACAACAAAAAATATTGTAGTTCTCGTTCTGTTGATATCAAACACAGAAAACATATTAGAATTTTGTACACCTGGTCCATAAAATAGTCTTTTTTGTAATCGGATGGACAAGGCTGCTAAGTGCTAAGGACTGCTAACACCTTCCTCTTTCCTTGAAACCTAGTATCTTATTTATAAGGCACAAGTCTTTGCAGAGGCACTATGGCCTTTGGTGATGATACTTTTCGGCTGATTTCCTGCTTGCGGGCCATCTTTAATATATTAAGTGCAGAATTGTTATTAGATAAAACATATGCCCTTGATTTTCCCTAGTGTGCAACATCTTTGGGCTTTTTTACTTAATTCAGTTTTTCAGCACGGGTTGCTTGTTCCCTTGTATGCCAGGGCGTACTAATGTTCTTAGAACCTTTAGCTTGCTTCTTCATGATGGCCTCATCAAACATATTGCAAGTCTGAATTTATAATTTGTATACATCTGACAATTGATGCAGTATCAACAAGGGAACTTTATGTTTTTCACTCCTAACCTTTATCATGCATTTGCACTAATCTATGATGGAAGTAGGGAACTTCCCTTACCTTCAGATGTTGGCCTGGGCTGAGCTTGAAATGTATAAGCTTCATTTCCTTTATAGAGTTTTGTATGGACCAAAATATTCTTAAGGAATTCATGCATCAATCTCTGTTATGTTGCCATTACTTTTTATTGTTTAGAATATTTAGCTTATTTCGCCGTATTTGCCCAGTACATATTACACTGCTTCAGAAATATTTTCTCTTTCATAATTTAGGTCTGACGATACTGAATACGTACTGGTTGATTTGGTGTCAGGTCCTAGCTGAGGATGAAAATAATGTCAAAGCACTGTACAGACGAGGAAAAGCAAGAGCAGAACTAGGGCAAACAGATGCAGCTAGAGAAGATTTGCTCAAAGCTCGTAAATATGCTCCGGATGACAAAGCAATTGCCAGAGAACTGCGGGTTCTTGCTGAACATGAAAAATCTGTCTATAAGAAGCAGAAGGAGATGTACAAAGGAATGCTTGGACCAAGACCTGAACCCAGGCCCCAGCAAACTAGTTGGCTAGCTCTCTTTTGGCAGTGGCTGATCTCATTATTCTATAAAATTTTCAAGCAGAAAACACAAAAATCTGACTAGTTTATTTATCCTATATAGTGCCCAAAATTGTGATAAGCTAGAGTTAAATAAAAATCAAACTGATGTATATACTGTATAACTGTTTTTACTACAGAAATGCTACAGGGATAGTCAATTAATAAACCATAATATGTTGTCCTAATTTCTGAAGCTCATATCATGCTAATAGGACAGGACTATTGTTAGATTACTACATGGACTAATTTCATATTTGTACAAAAGGTGATGAATGATTTACTTGCATTAGATTACTAGTTTACTACAGAGCATTTTTCGATACAATAAGTAATTTGATTTCAGTTTTGGATCGTATTTGAGTTAATCTGTAATTCGTATACCATGATGAACCAAACAATATTTGTCACAAAAAACTTCAGGTTAGGTTGTGTTGATTCGATTTAAGTACAAATACTTTATGTAAATTTGGATCTGGGTTAATTTCAGTTTTACCAAGTCTAGTAAAAAGTTTCGCCCTTGTACAAGCCTGCTGCACATTTACCAACATTTGATCCCTTTTTAGGCATCAAGCAACCTTGTAAGATGTAAAATCACACATATAGACATTATTCATTTAATGTGTTGTTGTATCAAATACACTTGATGATAAATGATGAGATTTGCTGATGTATAAACTACAATGGACTTCTCAATCATATAACTTAAACTTAAACTAATGGCAGTTTACAAGATGTGTACACTATTATTACAAATCATATAACTAATCACACAATAAAACAACAAAGAATCAAACTTCCGTTATATTACCAAAGCATGGACATCCAGGCACAATATGCACAAACAATCTTCTGAGATATATACACATAAACACCAAAAGAGAAGCTCATCAACAGCACATCTTTTAAGTCCCCCTTTTGTTTTGGACTTAAAGTTTCCTTCAATCGTTTACCCAACTTGGACACTCCACTTATAACTGGCAGTGTCATCAATGGCTTATCTTCCCTCTCTTTCTTCGCGCTCGAATCTTCCTCTCCTGCAGGCTTGCTGCTTTGGCAAGAGAAGGAGATCAAAGTTTTGGGGATGCTTATCATTTTATGCTCTTTGATTTCTTGGTTTTTGCCAAGGAGGCAATAGCTCATGGAAATTGCAGCCATTTAGTAAAAAGGGAGGAAATATTGAAACTTTTTTTAATAGAATTTTGTAGCTCAACTCTTTTTAAGTTTTCTTCAATTTGAGAAGATTGATTCAGTCACCTTCAAGCTAAGGAGAAAAATATCTTATATGAGCACCACATAAAATATATGGATAAGGAAGTAAAAATTTGGCCCCATAAAAAGATGGTTCAAAAAAATAAAATTTGTAAGCATGTTACAAATTCTGACCTTTAAAACAGCCTCAAAAAAGCAGGAAGTAGCTAATTCCCTAGGGCAAAAAACATTTTTACTACACCCGTTTCAAATTATTTACGACGGTTAAACATTAAGTGTGAGTAGAAAATATCTAATTTAGCAAATAATTTGAAACAGAAGTAATAGTAATTGGGCTAAAAAAACACTTACAAAATGGATCAAACGGGTTCGGGTTAATTTGATTCATGCCGAAATTGCCATCTTTCAATATGTACAACTGTGTATTCTTGCATACAAGTTGTACAACAGCTTTTAGGCACAACTAAAGTTAAATTTGTTCACCATAACATCATTTGTTTTGTTTGACAAGCAGTCACACAAGACTAAAGTTAAATTTGCATACAATTAGAATACTACCATATTTTCCTGTGGATGTATTGCCTATTCAGATTCAGAATCATCATCATCCTCTGCATCAGAAAAATTGTCAGACGCAGGGTGCTTAGAGTCATCACTGTCAGAGTCGCTCAGAACATATGTCATCTGCTTCCTGTTTGCTCGTTGTGGTCTAGACCTTGCCGGCATGGCTTCATTAATACTATCCAAAGAAAAAACTGAGATGTCATCACTCGCTTTACTACTGCCTGATTCTCCTCCGTTCAAAACTGACCCACTTTTTTTGTTGAAGGGAGAAGGCCTCATCCTCCTGACCTTCTGCTCAGGAGATGCATCCATTGTATCTGAAGCCTTGAAGGTATCAGTTATCAACTTTTGCCCTGCTTGAGATTTCTTACTGACAGGCCCCCTCTTCTTTGTAACAGCAGCTTGCTTGGGTTCCTTGCGGTTAGCAGCTCTACCCCTTCCTTTCTGTGCTGGTTTTGTAATTTCAAGGTCAACTTCATCATCGTTGTCTGATATTTCTTCAACTGCAGCAAATTGCTTCTTGGCATCAGCCTTTTTTGGGGCATCATCAGTTTCCATTTCTGATCAAAACAATAAAACTAATTACTACTAACAACAGATGAATGCATTTAGTAACATTCGGAAGTGTAAAATGAGAAGTTACCAGCAGATTTTTCTGGAGAAGAATCCAAGCAAGAGGCAGCCATCCGTTGGCTTAGAGCAGGAATGTCATCCTCTTCTTCCTCAGCTACAACAGTTGGCTTGGGTTGCTAAAAACATAGCTAAGTTAGCTTCTTACAAACCCAAGTTGTAAGGTGTTAGTCTTATGTAGAACTATATAAGTAAATAGAGATACACCTACCTTCTTAGCTGGAGCCTTCTTAGCTGGAGCCTTGCCTTTTTCCTTTACTTGCCCTGGCTGATATTCTAAGTAACAAAAGAAAGGTGGTCAAGAAAGGAACAAAAAATTTGCTGCAGTTGATGATTGTAAGTGGAAAACATTAGTAGATGATTCAACCTGAATCTAAATCGGAGTCCCTGACAGTTTTGGCTTTGCCCGCATTCCTTTTTTGCTTACGTGCCTTGTTCAGTTTTTGGGCAGAAGCTTTCACTTTATCCAGGGCATCTTTGGCCTCCTCCTCCTCTCTTATTTCCTTCTCCTGCAAAAACAAACAAATAATATTAGAACTATTTAGTCATTGACTGTAACACTATATTTACAGTTAAATTCAGAGGCTAACACTTACAAGAAGAGCTTTCTCAAGAGCATCAAGATCCCTTAACCACAAAGACCTTTCAGTTTCCTTGTTCAACAGTTCAATTTTCTCTTCAACTTTTCCCTTATTGTCACATAGCTCCTGCACTTTCTCATAAGTCAAGTTTCCTATTGTCATGGACAGCAGATAATCATAATAGCTCAAATGGTCAGCAGCAGATGTAGTATTCTCAGCGCTGACTTCCTGATCCTCTGTCTCATCGTTATTGTCAGTGGCACCTACAACAGCCGACTCAACAGATTTATTCTTGGGGATAGGATCAAACCCTTTCTGCCGCAATTCATTGACCAATTCCGCCTTTTTCCTCTTGCACACCACAATATCATCTTCTACTACAGCCAAGATAAACCTAACTTGGTTTGATAGCTTCATCAACTCAGCATGATATATCTCCAAGATTTTTTCCTGCCATGGTTTTCATTGAACTAATATGAGTTGCATAGTTAAGAAAGTATGTGAATCAGATCACGTGTTTCATGCTTTAAGACTTACCTTTCTTTTACTATAATATACAAACCTCATCGGATAGAACTTCTCAAGAACTGCACAAGAAATGTCATTACAAATGAGTAACCACTTAAAACCGAATGCACCCCTCAGGAAAAGTTTAAAGACGTACTCTTTTCAGGGGATTCATATTTAACGATCTTATTTTCCTCATCAAAGAGGTGCATGTTATTAGTGCTGAGGGTATTTGTGAGCTTAAACTTCTTCAACAAGCCCTCCTCCTTGGCAAGATTATAATTCTTCCTTGTTAATACAACCTTAAATTCTACAGTGTCATTAGTACTGCAGTCCACAAAGTCCTGCAGGCAACAATAAAACAAAATTAGTTTAAACCAATCTCTTTGTGAGCCACTTAGTTAAGTAAAATGAATGTTAAATCACCTTGATAAATGGCTCCTTGCCCTTCTCCATTTCCTTGGCAAGGGACGCCAAAAATTCCTTATAATCTTGGGTCCACTTCCGAATTGGCAACTCAGTGATTAAAAGAGTTACGTCATCATTACTGTCATCATCACTGCTGCTTTCATTAACTACCTCAATAATTCCAGTAACAGTGTAGGTGATTCCAGTGTCTTTCCTTGCAGTTTTTTGGATAGATCCTTTAAAATTATTGTACCAAGGATCCATAGGCACCAAAGGCTCATCGTTTAGCAAACGCCTGATGTTTGCAATGATGTCTCTGGGGTTATAATTGGGTATAAATGTACTCCAACCCGTTCCAATACCTTCAGATCCATTGACAAGAACTGTTGGTATTATTGGCATGTACCTGAAACACAAGGTCAAATTAGCTTCATCTAAACCACGTCAACTCTTGAGTCATCACCTTTCCACACTAGAAGGATAACTCACCATTGAGGTTCAATGGTCAAGCCATCATCTTTTAAGTAGTTGAGTAACATATCGTCATCCTTGGGAAACAGGAATCTTGTGATTTCAGTAAGCTTTGTGTGTATATACCTGGGGCTGGCAGCATCTTTTCCACCCTGTGAAATAGCAATATAAAACGAGGGGGGGTCAGCATGACAACTGAACTCATCGTAATCTGATTAATTCAAAGAAATCAATAGTACACAAATTTCTTCTAAGCCAAACATACCATGTTACGCGTTCCGAACTGTCCATGGGGCATTAAAAGATTGATGTTATTGGATCCAACGAAATTCTGTGCCATGCCAACAATTGTGCTTTGTATACTCGCCTCACCATGATGATAAGATGATTTCTCAGATACGTAACCACTGAACTGAGCAACTTTTGCCTGACTGATCAAGTTTTTCTTAAATGCAGCAAAAAGGACTTTCCTCTGTGTTGGCTTCAGCCCATCAACCATGGATGGAATGGATCTTTGAAGGTCTGCTCTGGAAAACAGTTTCAGTTCCTTGTGGACAAAATCACTGTACTTAATTATTTCTTCGTTATGATCAAGGAAATTTCCAACCTGCATCACAACAAATATCAGAAACTACAACCAGCCATTTAAAAAGGTACTCAACAAATTTTGAACAAGTTCAGACCTCGTCTTCCCGAAGCCAATCCTTCCTGGCTTCAATCTTCTTCTTACTAAAGGCCAGCTCAATCGCATTGCCATCATTGTCATTTTCCCAGCAGAAAATCTTTTTGTGCCTCTCGAGATTTGAAAAGTACTCCTTTCCTTCATTTGCATCACTTGTTCCCAACCCCTGTGTCAAAAACCCTTAAATTAAGAAACTCACAAACCAAATTCAAATAATTATACATTGTGGGTTGGTCTACACAAGCACACCTTA